TTATCTTTTATTTCTAATGGGAAATTGCAAATCTTTGATATTTTAGCGTGACGAACATCACATTTTTATTTCACTTATTTCAATCTTTCATTATTTTTTTCCAAACCCTTTCTTCCATCACTCTACCATTTCACTAAAATTTAGCAAATAAAAAAAAAAGAAAGTTAAAAGTTTCTGCAGAAAATTGTGGCATGTTTATTTCGCACCATTTGCGGTTTGATGAAATTTTCCAACCAATAAAAATGTTCGCTGAAATTAAACAAAAAAAAGGGGGCTAAAAATTTCTGTTGAAAATTTGGAGATTTATCTCTCCATTCATCATATATGAAGTTTTTTCTTTTTCTGCGACGACATAATCTTTGAATTTATTTTTATTTTATTAAAATTGATCAACTTTCTTCTTTTAATTTCATATAATTTTTTTTTCCAAAAAATTAAGCCTTTTTCTCTTTCTCAATTGCTCTTCCATTTTTATTTATGCTAAAAATCAAGTGAATTGAATTATATTTTAAGTGATTTATGATTATTTTAATCTTATTTTCACTATTTATAAATGTATAGTTTGAAGAGATTTTTGTAAATTTGCAATTAAAATACTTAAAAAATTAATTGTAATTTTTTCATCATCACCGCAAATAAGAATTTATTATCATATCTTTTTATTGTTGTGACGATTTTATTTTTTTTTCAGATAATCAGAATAATTTTATCAATTGTAGTAATCTTTGCAATGAATGCAATAGCATCATCGTCCACAGCAATGGTTAGCAATAATTCGAACAGTTCCGTTATTTGCAATAATAATCCATCGAAAAGAAGGAGTGGTGTGTTTGTTTTTGAATTTCTATTTTAAATAATTTTGTAGAATTATTTTAAACCATCAAAAAGTTTTTTTCTTTCTGGTTAAGAAATTATTAATTAATTAATCAATTGTTGTTATGAGCAGTATATGGATTAGGTCCAGTATTAGATGAATTGTTAACAATTCAAACAATTTCATAAATTTAAGTGCCTTCTTTCAATATTACTTTCTACAAGAAAATTTTCATAAATGCTATTCTTTTGCAAATTGCTATCAGCTCAAGCGCAAATGTATTCTTTTAGCAAAAATTGCCGTATGAAATGATTATTTTTATTTTTCTAATTAATCATCGTCAAAAATTTTTGCATCACCAAAAATTAATTTTAAAAATGATAGAAATTCTAATCGAAGTTTTTTTCTTTTTTAAGCCATTAGTGATTAAATTATCAATGTTTAAAATATAACAAATATAATTCATCAATTAATTTCATTTATTGTGAAAAAAATTTGCTTATTAGTTTTGGAAAATTTTGTAACTAAAAATTTCTTTTATCATTATTCTTTATTGGCTAATTGTTAGTTTTTGTTTCATTGTATTTCAATAAATTTTAATGCGTTGAATTAATGTTTTCAGGAACATTTCGTGTTTTAGCAGAAGATTGCACACAATTTACATTGAGCGATGAATTTGATAGTGATTTCCATCAGGCACTAACAAATTATGAACAGTATACGTTTGGATTGGATCCGATATTAGATGAACCGTTAATTAGTCGCTCAAATACTGATAATGATATCAGTAGTGATTATTTGCACGAGAAATTAAATAAGGATACATTAAGAGGATCATATGTGTCACATCATGAAAGAGAAATTTCCAGGTAAGGTAATAAACATTCTGTAAATATTTTGGCTATTAAAGGCCAAAATAAATTCAATGTTTAAAGATAGCATTATTGATTTTATCTGAAATAATAATAGTCGTAATGATGTGTTTCTTAATGTTTTCCATTGGGAGATACTGAAGCATTTATTATTTTACAAAAATAGTGATAAGAGAAAGTAGCTATGTTTGAAATAGAACAGTTTTCCAATGATATGATAAAACATGATGCAAATTTCTATCATTTTTAGTTTTATCTAAATTAATGATGCATTTTAGGTTAACAGATGAGGTGGAAATTGATGGTGATTCAGCATCGGATGAATTGGATTTGTTGCCATCTTTACCGCCTTGTTCAGGTACAGGGCGAAAATTTCCAAAGTGGAAAATAAAAGTGCCAAATTGGTTACTTTGTCGTAATCCACGGGTTCCAGTGAAATGCATTATTATGTAATTTTATCAAAATTTTTATGTAATTTCAGAGATATTTTATCGATAAATTTCATTTTCTTAGACTGTAAATAAATCTAAAACTCAGAAATTATTCAGTTAAAATAAAACATATGGTTTGAGCAAATCGAACAAATCGAAGTGATGATTTTTTCATGAAATTTAAAAAAAAAAAAAACGCATAAATTTATTCTAAAGAGGCACGATACAAAAAAGTTATAAAACCAGTTAACTTGCTTAGACTTACTTCCTTTCAGATGAGGTTAGCGCATTATTTAAGTTGAATTTGAAGAACCAAATTTCAATAGAAATCGTTTCTCAATTATTATATATTACGGTGATGTTATAAAGTTTAATAAATTTCTGAAAATTATAGCAATGAAAAATTTGTGGATTAGAAAGGTGAAAAAGTCTAAGGGATTGTTTAAATTCAAAACATTTCGGTTGAAATTTTTAACATGTCGAAAAATAAAATTTCAATAATAAACTTTATCGATAGCTGAAATTAAAGAACAATGAAAGTGTACATTTTTTAGCGTGTAATTGATACAATATTTATAGAAAGTTAGCTTCAGTCTTTTGTTGGATTAAACATTTTTTCAGTTCATTGGTTACTGTAAGCGCAATTGTATTAATTATTGCAACAATTCACAATTTATTTCTATGAATTGTAAGATAAAATGAAAAAAAAAGTCTTTCATCTACACTATAATATAATAAAATATAAAATGAATTGATCTAGCACATTTATGAGTAGCTTAGAAGTGAACTTTTTCAGTAATATTTTTTAATTGATTATACATTTTTATAAGTTCCAATTTTCCTCTTAAAAATTTTTAAACATATTTGAAAAATTTTTTGTTTTCAAGATAAAAAATGCTCTTTTGAAAATAAATTTTTTAGAGCTGAAATACGTCGATTATTGAAAATTTGATAAAAAAATAGATCAGTTTGATTAAAAGTTAAATTAAATCAATGCTAAGTTTCATTTCAATTCGACGGTGTATGTTATAGCTCATAGCTAATCATCGATTCTTATAAATTTAGAGAAAAAAAAATTTTTTTTGCAACATTTTCAATAATAAATATATTTATGCATTATCAATATCACTAGGCTCATTTATGGCGCATTTATTATTTCAATTAAATCAGTTTATATTATTCGGGATTAAAAATCGTCCAAATCGGAAATTAAAATAGTCATATAACAAACAACACGAAATCGGAAATTAAAATAGTTATATGATAACGAACAGAAAATCGGAAGTCAAAGTAGTCATATGATATTTGAATTATTTTTCGTTTGATTCCACACTCTCTCTAATCATTTAAATATGATTAACCGAATGTCTTTAGTACCAGTCAACTGCTAATTCAATTTTTGACATCATTTTGCTTTTTTAGCATCTCTTTCATATAATTTAGCAAATTTACTGTTGTGAAGATGAAAAAAGTTATTACGATTTTTTTTGCGATTTTTCAATTTCTGTTAATTTATCCTTCAAGCGCATTATCTTTAA